AAAGTGACACAGAAATACTAGTGTGTATTTGTAAATCTTCATTTAGGAATTTCAGATGAAACTTATATGTGCATCATTTACTTGTAAATTCATTCTGCTATATCCTCTTTCCTCCTTTCTAACCCCCCCCCCCCCCCAAAAAAAAAACAAAAAAAAACGTATAAATCATTACCAAATAATTTCTAATGTAATTAGCAAAACATATTTATGTCCCGATAGATGTTTTAGAATGATTCCTTATAACTGTTATAGGCTGCAATGTAGTTTTTGAAATTATGATTAAGTTGAGATTGTAAGTGCAAAATGTGTCCAGAATAAAATATTTAAAATATTTATATTCAGATGCATTTATGATTCAAATGGAATTCAATGCTCCGATAGACTTGTTGGAAATAAGTAGTAAAATGGAGAAAAGTGCTTCAAAAATGTTTTAGTTGTAAATCAGTATTTTATACGATATGCAAACATTGCATTTTAAATGGACAAGTCAAATTCAAAATCGTGTTTTAGACCCCCCCCCCTTTTAAATAAAATGCTGCAAATAAATGTGTCGGGAACGGTCCGTATATATAAATGTACATTGTATACTGATCTCAGTGCATGAAATATTCTTGTAAGTTGGAGAATCGGATGAAAAAAAAAATGGGTTAAGAGATTGAAGTTATTTTGATTAGACATATTCATGAATCCGTCGGGAAGTTTCATCATCGGATCGTATATATGTAATTACATGTATAAAGTTTGTACAACTGTAAAGGAATACGTTATACATTTATTGACTGGGTTCTCGGGCAACATGCGATTTGTCGGACCCAGGAACCAAACTGTTTGCCTTCGGTCCTCAGGCAAACAGTTTGGTTCGAGGGGTCGACAAAATGCATTTTGCCCGAGAACCCCGTCAATAAATATTTTGTTATACCTTTTATTTATTTATTTATTTTATTATTATTATTATTATTATTATTATTTTTTGTTATACATGTATCTTTTGCTGGCTTCCATACCAACCAACCAATGCAAATATGATTTAGCTGATCCCGCCCACAGTGTGACGTAAGCTGTCCAATATCTCGTCCATAGGTCCAACATCTCACTCTGCGGTCAAACATCGATTTTTATGACCCGCAGTAAAAGATTAGAAATGTTAGACTTTTTTTATTATGGGTTTATACAGGAACTAATTTTTAAAGGTATAACAAATAATATTGTCTGAAACGATACGGGAAAATCTATAAAGAAATTGTATGTTTCTTTATAGGGATAATCATAAGTGAGTGGATTGATCGCGATGTTCACAACTTTTCTGAGATATTTTGCGGACAGACTGTTCTTCTGTAACTTACTCTTAGACTAGAAGGGTGGATATACTTTAAGGCGGACGGGAAAGGGGCATTTTATCAATCTTAAAAGTCTATACCTACTTATTCACACTACCAATCATAAACATTAAACACAGATTTAATTAAAAGTCATATTAAAGCACTTTTTAAGCTATATTACCTAATTATATCAATCTAATTAATATTAGATGTTCCGAATCCGCTATACCGCTTCTCAAACGGTAGCGAATTCGGAACATCTAATTATTATATGGATATCTCGTGGTAAAATTTTGCGAATTCTCGACAGTGATATGATGAAATAGGATAAAATGTGCACAATTAAACTTTTTTTCTCAGAAATCGGCAATATATCTGTTAGAATTATGTTTATATATATATTAACCTGAAAAAATTTTGCCAAGGAAAGTGTGCAAATTTTGTAAGAATTTGTAATAACGTTATGAAATGTATGAAAAAATTGCATAGAAAACTGACAAAGTCGCATATTTAAACAGAGAAATCCTACGATTTCTTCATATTTTAGGAATCTATTATTTAGATCTATGTCATTTTTATTTAAAATCATTAAAAAAAGTCAAGGCCACCATTAAAAATATCTTTGTTTCCCCTAACCCGACCCTAAAATCTCAAGGTGGGTAGGTAGGTAGGCAAATAATTTTTTTTTTTTTTTGACAGCAGCTTTGAAAAATCATTCTCAAAATTTAATGGAATGATACTTTTATAAATAAGTACAAAAAAGCGATTTGTTAACAGCTAGAATACCATACAAATGCCTTAAACTCACCATTTAAGGTATATTAATTCACAACTGTTATTTAATCGAACTTGTGAAATATCTCATACCATAGTAAATTTGTTGAAATCAAATACATCTTTAAAAGATTCTTCAGTACTCAAAGAGTATATTTTTCATACCTATACTACACATGCAATGTAATTTTTCAAGACCTTCGACTTGTGCAGTGGTTCTAGAGCATTTCGTTTTGGAGTCTCGAAGAAGGGAGCTATTTATAAGTTGCAGGTTCATATCCAAATGCGGGACGTTGAAACCGGTTCTTCGAATGAGACTTAAAAAACTTAATCAGGTCCAGTATCACAGCGGATACTGGCACAAAAAAGATCCCCCAATGCTCAATGGCCTAAAGTGCTGCGTACAAGTCTTAGTTTGGAGCCCCTTCTCCAGACAAATGTTTAAATAAATGTTTTTTGTCCCAACTATTATCAAAGGAGTTCAAATAAAGAAACAACCAATCTTTGAGGGCCTTATTAAAGGAAAATACACAGACGTGTATCATAACTTCAAATCTATTTGGAAAAAGTATGCTAACAATATTTAATTGAGACAAACCATATCAAAATATGAAGAAATGTCATAAACAATTCAAAGTTACGAAGTTTAATCCATGAACGATGAATAAAAAGGCATAAAGAACACAGGCACTTGGGGTATGGACCCCCCCCCCCTTTCCATTTTTTTTTCTTTTTAAATCTGGGGTCGAGTCACCTTTTTCCTAGTTTTGTATTCTAATATGCACTGTATGTTATCAATAATGTAACTCTTTTGTCTCTATAAGCTGTTTTTAAATATATCGTTTTCGACTGATACATAAAAAGAGAGAAGGCTTGCAACTCTTTTCTCATCGTCTGCCTCACCTCGCTTAAACTTCGCCTGATTATTTATCGAAAGAATAAGAAAACATGGAATATGCATACATCAATAAATTCGTTATACATTCTTCTTCCTTTTCATATTTCCATTTAATTTTTATGTGCCCCCGATTTGTAAATATTTCGATTAAATCACCCGCATCTAGGGTAAATTTTGTTGATGTGCACCAGCTGGGACGGAAGTGCAATAACGGTAACTCTAACTTTATAAATGTTCTGCATTAAAAAAAAAAATTCAAGGCTTTGCAATAACAGTATTGTGAAATTTGGTTGTCTAGGTCGTCTGTTAAAAGTTAATATTCATCCATTAGAATTTGCTAGTTAAAGTTATCTTGTTATTCACAGAACTTACCGTTACATGTCATATGAAGAGAAAATTCGGGATTTATTCCTTCTCGCATTTAATGTTCCGAATGACATTACACATAATGATGATACCCGAAAATACCGGGCACTTCCGTCCCAGCTGGTGCACATCAACAAAATTTACCCTAGATGCGGGTGATTTAATCGAAATATTTACAAATCGGGGGCACATAAAAATTAAATGGAAATATGAAAAGGAAGAAGAATGTATAACGAATTTATTGATGTATGCATATTCCATGTTTTCTTATTCTTTCGATAAATAATCAGGCGAAGTTTAAGCGAGGTGAGGCAGACGATGAGAAAAGAGTTGCAAGCCTCCTCTCTTTTTATGTATCAGTCGAAAACGATATATTTAAAAACAGCTTATAGAGACAAAAGAGTTACATTATTGATAACATACAGTGCATATTAGAATACAAAACTAGGAAAAAGGTGACTCGACCCCAGATTTAAAAAGAAAAAAAATGGAAAAGGGGGGGGGGGGTCCATACCCCAAGTGCCTGTGATAAAGAAAGGATGTTTGAATTCTACATGTATTTATTAGGATGAAATATGCAGACTTATTTTCAACTCTGATGGTCCCATATAGTAAACATAGGAATATTGATGAACTGTTTTTAAGATGAAACTCAAATAAAATGCAGTGAAATTGATTGGTGTGTTCACAAGGTGGGCCCTTTGTCTGCTCATAAGGGGTATCATAAGGAGGGCTTACGGACCTTAGCATGCTCTCTACGTACCTTAATTTTAAGACAGGTTAGTAAATACAACCGAAACACTCGTAATAAGTCATTGCATATTATAATTTATTAACAAAGTGTTTCAAGAGTGTATGATTCTTATATGCTAAAGGCATAAGGTTGATATGTCGCCTTTCTTTTAAAACACGAAGTGACGAACTACGCCCTCCGTGACGACATGTTTGAGCGCCATTTTGTTTACAACAAACACTTGAAAATCACAGAACAAAATCAGTCGTTCTGATAAAAAGGGATTTGGATGGAATTTTATTTTATGAAAAATAACAAACATAAAAAAAATATTTGAATAATCTTATGTAAAAAAAAAATTCCAGTCGGCGCATTTTAATTGGGTCGGTCGCGTTAGGGGAAACAAAGGTATTTTTTATTTTGGCCCAATCCATGCATCTTTTATGTATGTGTTACATAATCGTAAATTCTAAATATTACAAATAAAAACACTTAAATTCTGTTTATGGATTTTGCATCGCTTATTGGATTTGGCTGTCAGAAAGACATAGATTGACACTTAACCTTGAAAAAAATGGAATGTCATAAAATTGAAGTCCGCGATTGTGGCACATATATATTGATACTTGTATATATTATAAAATAAAGTACCGAATAAAATAAATAACTCTACTAACAATCATATACATATAACAAAAGTATTTTACATCGTTGTGATTAACTACCATATATATATTATAATTGGTTTAATTCTTTGAGTGACTTTAGAAGTTTAAAAAAAATGATCAAAACATCATGTGACGAATAAATGTCCTGAAAACAGTAAAACAATCAGATTGGTAAGAAACAAATGTCATCATTTTCCCATGTCAACATGTGCATTAATTAGCATACATAAATCTTTTGCACTAAGTCGAGTCAGTATATATTTGGGAGAAAGCGATGTTGAGCTACCTTTCACGTGAGTATCATTCTTACCAGTTTTGAAAATACGTGTACATACGTACAGTAAACTAAAGATTTAGTGGGAATACTTACCGGAAGCAGACATAGCTGATATGAAGTTTCTTAAAATAGTGTGTAACTTTGGGCTGGGGTGGGGTGGATGCTGGATTTTTAATGAAAGACGACATGAATTTCATTATTTATCTTCATTTAAATCTAAATTTAAAGTTATTAGCAAACAAAAGGGGCATATTCTTACAAATGCCTAATTAGAATTATTTTGTGTTGCAGAATTATTTCAGTTAACATAAAGGTGCATACGGCATGTTATAAGGCTTAGTATTTGCATTGTCCAGGCCGTGCCCGCTCTCTCCGCCACTCTCCAACATTTGATATAAAGAATACTTTGGAAACAAAGTTTCTTTATAAATGTACCCTCTATAATTACCCTTGATGACTTTTTCTGTTAATTTTGCTAGTCAAGAAGTTTTTGTGTGGTATGCCCTGAAAATGTTTGATTGTGTGCCCCCCCCCCAACCCCCACCCCCATCTGAAACTGCTTCCTATCGGCCTATTTGTACACGTCTTCAACACATTTCATTTCCTTGTACTTGATCGAGTTGAAACAAGATTTTCCACTTAACAACGCTACGAGAAACCTTTGATATTTGACAGCGTCAAATTCCGTCAGATTTTAATTAATTTTTTTGAATATTTTTGTTGACTGATAGGTTCAAAGCATATGATTTGTAATTAAAAAAATAAATAAGACAAGTGCGTCAAATTTTTATACAAGAGACATGCATTTTTTTTGTAAATAATTATTCAAAAATATACATCATCTTTTTTTTTAATGATCAAACATGACGTCACAAGGTGGTGACAGAAAACGAACATCCTCCAAGCGTATGTTCAAATTTGTTCAAGTAATGGCCTCTGGAAGCTAGGCCTGGAATCACAATAGAGAGTCACAGATTATACACTGAAAAACATATATAAAGATGAAATATGTGGAGATAACGAACAGTATTCCAGCTCAGAAGTCCATTAAACATTACAAAATAGGAGCAGAGCAAACACGGACCTCTATGACATCAGAGGTGGGATCAGGTGCCATGGAGGAGTGAGCATCCCCTGCCGACCGGTCACACCCGCCGTGTGTTCCTTGTCATGATCGGGAAATAACGGAAAATCCGTCGACAATTCAGTATGTAAATAATGGCCTAACAATTAGTATGAAAAAAGTCAGTCAGCATTTGACTTAGTGAGAGCTAGATTGTATTTGCTGACAAGGTCATTGTATCGACCATAGAACTTACGAAATGATGTCTTTAAACGAGACTGCTGATATTCTTGTTTCATCAACTTGTTTGTCAATAACTTACCTCGTTTTAGAAATTGTTCATACGTAAAGCATACTCTAGCGTATCGAATCAACTGAGATATGTAAACCCTGTATGCAGGCGATAAAGGGTATATTGCTGCATAAGTAAGGGAAGTTGACGATTGAAAAGTTAAAGTCATAGGGAGCCGCTGAACCAATATCACCCACTCTGGCGTAGAGCATTCTTGAGTGAAGGGGAACAAAAATTGTGAATATCATGCCCCCAGGACTTGAGGTGTGGGGCTAAAACCATCAAAATTAGTTCTACCTTTAAAAATCTTTTTTGCTCGTGGACATCAAGCAGTTGAACTATTGACGTGATTGTAATTGAACCCTCTGCTAAAATTGTGAAATTCCTGACCCCAGGGTCAGGGATACTGGAGTTAGGATCGGGCTCTGTATCATCACATAGTGAAAATGCATAAATTATTTTAAAATCTACTTCTTTGTTCCTGGGTATTTAGTAAACATACTATTTGCATGGTTATGATGTGCAGTGAAGTTTCTTCCAAAATAATGAAGTTTCATGGTCCCTGGATCAGGGGGCTCTTGTGTTAGGGCATGGCTGTATTGATTATATAGTGAAATGCATATATCCTTGAAAATCTTCCTGCTCTGCTGCTGGGCATTTAGGAGGCAAACAGAGTACAATTTTAAAATAAGCAAAGGTCCTTTTTACCCAAATTTATGAAATTCTGGACCACTTGGTCAGGTGTTCTTATGCTTGGCAGGGCTCTACTAATTTGTATTCTTTTGAGAGAAGTTATGTCCCTTTACTATTGACCAATGATTAAGTAGTCACTGTAAATAATGCATGTCATTGAAAGGTCAATTCAATAAGAGAATTATACGAGAATTTTTGTAATATACAATACAAAAAGTACTTTCATTTGGTTTTAATGGTCACTGACATATTGTAAGTAATAGATAAATAAAAACGAGACAAAAATACCTTATCATCTTACATATTAAATGTTCTTTAAAGACCAAGAGAAGCTATAAATGTGGGAATGAGGTGGGTTCACTAATAGTGCTCAAGCACTAATGTTTTGTTACTTTGCATGGTGATAATGACACCTATGGGCAAGTACAGGCAAGTATATGTAGATAGAGCCACCTTAACAGTTATGTACTAGATCACCTATTTTGTTGATCCCTGATCATCCTCTTTTGCTCTTTGGCAATATAGCTTCATTTATCAGTTTATTTTGTTTTATTTTTTACTTCAATGGATCCTTTACAGTGTTGTATTATTCTCAGGTGACCGTTAAGGCCCTTAGCCCTCTTGTCATTTCTTTTTTTCTGTTTCGTATTGTTTATTTTCCTTCCTTGTACAAGAATCCATGTTTTGTCCCATGCATAATTAATATACATCGCAAGCAGGTTTGTTTATGTCGCGGTATACTTGATGTACAAATGATAAAATGAATCGGTAATGCACACCTGAAATCAAGGTGAAAAGTAGCGGTAATGAATGTAATTTCTTGCAAAGTAGAGGCAATGTGTCCCTACCCCTCATTTTGTGCAGTCTTTTTTTTTCAATTCATGCAGAGGCGTCGGAAGAAGGTATTTACAATTGGGGAGATGAATTGATTGGGAAATTGGGGAGAAAGTTCGGTCCCGGTTTGACTTGAAATTCAATAGACAATATTTATTTTTTTCAATCAAGGGCCCCCAGAGAGGCATGAAAGATACATTAGTAGACAAAGGCAGTACATTATCAATAAGGAGATATATTTAAAAAAAAATGTTAAAGTAAAATACATACATAGAAAGTTGTTGTGCTTTACAATGTCATATTAAATGATTAGAGAGGTAGTTTCCAAGTTGAAGTAAAACATTCATATTTTCACATGTAATGATCCAAAAATATTTTTGAGAACTATCTAAGCTATTAAAACTTTTATTATGTTTCTGTGCTTCATTTATAAGTTTGGTTCTTTTTTCTTTGTAAAAAGGACAATCTATGGTAAAATGTATTTCATTTTCCACTACATTCAAATTAGATTTTTCACATATTCTTTTATCTCTTTCTAGTCCAATATATCTACCAGTTTCAATTTTTAGCCTGTGAGAAGATATTCTTAATCTGGTAATGCCTCTTCTAAAGTCAAAGTTATTCAGTAATGTTAAATATTCTTCACATTGGAAATTACTCTTAAGCTTTACATAAGAATCCAGTTTTCCAGAAGAACTTTTTTCTTTAGAGTTGAACCAAGAGCAAATAAACTTTTTGCGGATTTGATTATTGATGACAATTTTGAATTTAGATAGACTCAAAGAGGAGGCATTTTTTGATATTTCTAAAATATTCAAAAATTCAAGTATACAAGAGAACCAGGAGTCTCTACTTGTACTAAGTGTTTTGGAATTGATAAAAGCATTGTACAGAAGAGAATTGTTATCAGAATTTCCCAATCTATGCCAATATAAAACATTGATTTTATGATATCAATATAATACGGAAATCTTCCAAGTTCTGACATTACTGCAAATTTGGCACTTTTCTTATGAACACCCAGTATAAATTTACAAAACTTCAAATGTAGCTTGTCATGTTCTGAAAAAGTATATACATTGTCAATTGAGATACCATTTCTGAATCGTGATGAATGAGGACTAAACACACCCCATATTTCGCTGCCATATAACAGTATTGGCTTAATTGTATGGTCAAAAATATGTAGACTAGTTTTAACAGGAGTATGAAATGCTAAAATATCTTTACATAACTTAAAATAACATTTCAAACCTTTTTTGTACAATGCATCTTTAGCCTGCGAAAAAGTACCTGATGCAGTGAAATAAACACCAAGATATTTATAATTAGTAACATTTTCGAGTATACTACATGTATTATTCAATAAAAATTTATTCTTCAACAATTAACCAGATTTATTAAAAACTAAGACTTTTGTTTTATCAACATTTACATATAAACACCATTTTTGACAAAATTCATCTAATGTGTTTAGGTTTTGTTGAAGACCATTGGCTGAGGTTGATAACAGAACAACATCATCAGCATACAATAGACAATGTATTTCTAAATTATTAAGTGTACCAGGGTCCGGTGTACTAGACCACATATTTGGTAGATCATTTAAACCAACATCTTGATATTTCTTTTTCTCATTAACCTGAAAGCACAATTTGAAACAAAACAAACAGATATTCTTTTCTCTCTTATTTTTGTATTTTTACTCAGATTGGAAAAATATTATATTTCTAAATTACACTTATATATGGAAGCCGTCGTGAAGGGACTGCATAGCGGTGTAGGCGCAAAAAATTACATTTTTGGAACAAAATACATGTGAATTATTTATTCGTCCATTTAATTTATTATATTTTTTGCTAACCCTCACCCTTGCTGTGACTCACTGGCCTAAAAAATGGGAATGGAGAATCAAAGTCTCTGGTTGTCTTTACCAATGTTTTTTTTTAGACCAGTAGGCTATACAGACCTGCAGCTACCCTCCCTTCCATTTCCGGATACGTTTTAAACTACGACACAGTTAAATTCGTGATTGTTATTGGCGAAATCATGCTTAATTAGAAAAAATAATATGCCTTACTTAAACTCGAAATATTTTAATTCTAAAGTTGTTGCAACCTGGGTTCTGATAATTTAAATTGCGTCTTTTCTCCGAATTTGCCATTTAATAATTATTATAACTATGATTAAGTCAGAGAAAAGTAAATGCCAAGCATTTCCCCATGTTGAAATATATGCCATTATATCACGGTAACATGTACGCCTCGATCCCTTTCCTCCCTCAGGCTTACATGTATGATTACGTTTGACGATTTAAATTCAATGCATTTTAAGGATAAATAACAAACTTTTTTCACAAAGCAGCAATATTTCTCATAGATTTATATTCAAAGATGTTTACCAGGCAAAGTGGGAGAACTTTGTAAGATTTTGTCGCAATGTTAAAAATATGTGCAAAATTTTGTATAGAATTATGTAGAAAACAAAACAAAGTCGAATATTTAAGCACCAAAGAAAACTTACGATTTCTTTATATCTTAGGGATTTATTATTAATGTAATTTCTATTCGAAATCAGTTAAAAAATATATATTAATCCAGGCATCAAATTTTTATTTGTGTTATGTATCCTTAAACTATACGGACACCATCTTTTATCAACAGTTTTCTTGGTCCTGTTTCACTGTGTGTCAGCTGGTCAGGAGAAACACTGGTTATGTGTTAAAACCCCTCCCCCACGCTTTCGGGACCTGCACGCCTCCTGTCCCTCGGAACAGTGCTACTCTCTGCATCTTTTTGCGTGCTACAACGAAGACTGCTGTGCCTTAAACATCCGGCCAGATGGCAACGCCAGTAGTAAGTGTGTAATGGGGATAAAAACAAGAGGCCCATGGGCCACAGTGCTCACCTAACCTTTTTCATGAGATAATAGGTATATACTCACAGAGCATATAGATAGAATCCTTAAAGGTAGCTATTAGTTTACATTCCATGATTTTAGGACGTCATCCTAGTCAGGGGACAATTAATCTTAAATGTAAACTACATGGAGATACATGCTATCATATTTATTGTTGCCTCTCTGCTCTACAAAAGAGAGAGTTTTGAAGAATTTTCCCCATATCTTCGTATGTAAGACGCTGATCCCATATTGTGCCTTCACCTAGCCTATGTATGCTTTGAATACTAGTGAACATAAATCTACATGTATGGGCATATCAATACGACGTACTGACTTCTACCCTCGGTTATCTCGCTAACAGATTTTTATTAAAGTTTTTATTCTACCAAATCACACCGTATTCCACAATCCAAATATAAAACTTTGACCCCTATTGTGATCCAATTCTATTAAGATGGGTCATGATTTGGTCAAACTTTAATCTTCACTACATGGATATGTGAATAATGTGACTAACTGCAACCATTCTATTCTTCCATGTCAAAACAATCCCTACTAAGCCAAATCTGGTTAAAATTCGTCTTGTGATACTGGGAAAGAGGTCGAAAATGTTAAAGTTTGACGAACGTCGAACGACACACAGACTAACTTATACAACATACTTATTTCTGATAAATTATTAAAGACATGATTAACTGTCTCCTTCTACCTTTGAATAATAATAAATTTGGAACTGTTATTTATTGCCCTAACTAGAGGAAAAAAAAACAGACATTATAATACATATATAAACTTGACGTTACGCACGGTGTTGGTGTCACATTTGGTAACGTTATAAATGACGTTTAACGTCACGTAAACGGGACGTAAAAATTACTCATATCAATCAGCGACTTAGTAAAACTTTCATAAAGGTTTAACTGCATACTGAAGAGTTCTAATCCATATGTTTTATGAATTTAAAGTGATCTGCCCTTTTATGTAAGTTGGAATAAATGGAAATCTTCAGTAAATGACACAATTTGAAATAAAATGAAAGTAATATTGACCAAAAAAACCCTGAATACATTAATTGAATGTACGTAAACATGAGCGAATACTTCATTTTCTTTAAACATCTTTATATATTTTTTCTTGGTGAATGTTGTAGCTAGGTACTAGTACCCTTGTTGAAATTGAAGTATCTACACGTTTATATAAAAGATCTCAAAGTAAAAAAAAAAGTTTTCATTAGAATTTAGAGTTCCCTTAAATCCATTTCTATGTTAAAAGTAAAAAAATAAAATAAAATAAAATGAAAAGAAACTGGAAGTTTAATGAGTGAATATGTTTATTATGTAGCGTGAAAAACGTTCATGTCAAAAACAGGCAAAACTGTTCTTTACCGTATTAATTAACTTTCTTTAAATTTGTTAAAAATACAGGTTTGAAATCAATTCTAAAAAATATTTAGATGCCATTTAATATCAATTTAGTGTGTTAACACGCACAAATCGACGCATTCCAGGATATCTTCATTTTCCTCTTCGGTTAGGTGAAGAATTTCGTTTTGTATAGATACATTTTGGCATATAAACAGTAAAGATGCACTTGGAACCATGGCTACTGGGCGTTTTATTAGCTTATAGTCCAAGATTGAGTTTTCCTTTTTAGCAAAATATTTTCCGTGGATGACTGTTGACCCTGCAACAAACGATCCACCCCACTTGTCTGTTTTGGCTTTCCGTAGAGTTTTGCTCTTTGATGTGGCTTGTAAAAGATAAAAGTCATTGTCGTCATCCCCTGTGCACAGAACAGCAAACACTGTTCCTTCAGTAATAAAATCTGAGAGTGTTTCTGCCTCGGTATATTCTTCCTCAGAAATGTCAGGATCCTGATGTGTAGATTCGCTATTCGACTTCATTTTCATTTCTTTGGAAAGTCCAACTTGAGGTAAATTTTCACACTTTTCCCCTTCTAGACAACTGTCGCAGTAACACGACATATTACGTAATATGATTTTCCCGTCTTTAGATGTTTCTGCTCGATGTACGGCTCGAATTCCTTTAATTGGCTGAAAGTTCTCTTCAAACATCGGGATTTCTTCAATATATCGAAATATTCTTCTTTTGCAGGCATGAGATCGCGGTGTCCTGAGTTTAGCCTCTGCAAAATTAAATAAATCAAGCGCAGATCTTATTTGAGCTTTCCCGCGGATAACGGCCATATCAGCTTGGTTCTTAAGTAAACCTCCCGCTGCATCCTGTGGTCCTTTACCATGGCTACTTTCAAAATAATTTCGTATCATTTTCTGATATCCAAGCTCGTCAACGGAATGAACGAGATTTCCCAAACAGTTCCTGCTTTTATATTGGCTTTGACATCCGTCACAAAACTCATGCATTGTAGAGAGCGGGTAATTGACGGACTGCAAATATTCAGATATCAATTTCTGAACACATTTAACAAAATGATGGTCGTGCTTTTCGTCAGGAGAAATAAGAAAAAAATGTTCACAAATAATATAAGGGTCATCGGGGGTGCTCGATACACCGTCAACTTCTAAAATAGCATGTCTATAAATCAGTGAAATGTGAATGGAAACCTCAGTTCGTTGAAAATAGTTTGACTGGATTTCAATCTGCTCACTACATCGGTAGTTTTCCGAGAAATCATGAACTGTTAAACATTCGTTTTCCGGTAAGTTTTCGGCAAGATTTTTCAGCTGATCCGTTTGCCATTTGGCCCTGAAATGATGACCTGGGAAAAACCCCAACACCTTCTTAAAATACTTTATCATCTCACCGGACTTTGTTATTTTGTCTACCAATGTCAGTTTCTTCTTGGTGCCATTTTTTGTTTTGATGTCAACATACTCGAATTTTTTCCAGTTTACATCTGGCGAATCGTCACACATATCTAATTCAGCGTCACAAAATTTCAGCAAATGAACACCGCATTTTTCACAGCTTCTTTCTAAACAGTCTTTCAAATGTAAATTTCCATCCTCCGTATGGCACATCGTATCTTCACATAATTCCGAAATTGTTTTGTAAACCTTAAATGTGTTTTCGTCCAGCAACCCATCGTTTGCCAACTGATTTCTACGTGCCTTGAAAGCGTTGAACAAAAACTTGCTCTCTAGATGATACCTGCAGCAGCATGTTGTTCTATCCTTTTTCCTTGCAGATCGGACAAAATATGGCTTACATTTTTCAAATGTTCTCTGTGAAATCTGAATTTCAGGATAATGTTGGTTAAAAGACATGAACAGTTCACTCTGTGTTTTTTCTAGAATTTGAATAGCATGGCTACAGTAAGTTTTTGGACCTATTCGGACACGCTTGACATCAGTTTTATTTCCAGTGTGCCGCGAATTTTCAGGTAGACACTAAAATTCATATACTGTTTTTTGAACTTCTTCAGTTAGTTTATCTGACCTTGTTTTCCTTTTTGTAAACTCAAAGGATGATTGTTCTGAATGCAAAACTCGTTGTCGGATTCGAACACCCTTTGAGATCCTTCTAACTGGCATTCCGAGTTTTCTCGCAAGGTCAACTTTGGCCCTAGATTTTTGAACTAATGGTCCTGATACAGATGCAGCTAGAATGTCGACGACTTCCCGCGACTTATCACTCCTCTTAAATTTCACCGAATTCAAGAAAGATTTCACATCCTGTATAACCGATTCATTCATTTCCAATTCTTTGCGTTCTTCCGGTGATGGTACAACCTTTCTACGCTGTAGTTCCTTAACCGTGGGTGATTTCTTTGAGGACAAGTACGCCTTTACAGTTGCAATACGTTTTAGAGGTGTCCTAGGAAGAGCTTCCTTTAACTTTCTTATTGCACGGGATTTGCTCATTTTATTTTGAAATATTTGTTGTTCCTCTTGTGTGAGCGGAAGATTGTGTTGCTTGAGTATTTTTTTCTTTTCTCGCCATCGTCTTTGTTTCTCTGTGTTTTTCTTGCGTTTTTCTTCCTTCTTTAATTTCTCTTGAATCTGTTTACTCTTAAGGACTGCCCTACTTTTCCGCTTTCTTTCTGTAGCTTGTTGTCTTTTTTCACGTTCTTCCTCTTTTTTCCGAGCAAGCCTCTCTCTCTGCTGCCTCTTCTTTACAGCAGCTATAGATTGAGACAACTCCTTTGCTGGTCTCAATAATTTTTGTTTTTGTTTCCATTTTCTCTTTTGTTCTCTGCGTATTTCCTCTCTCTTTTCTTTGATCGTTGAGCAATTTGACATACCTGTACCAATATATGATACAAATTTTATAATTTATATGTAAACTAATATATTAAGGAACGATAAAAATAGTTATCATACAATATATCTATACATATGTCATCCAATAAGGAATGAAATTTGAATTTATTATTGAATGTTTCATAGACAACATAATGGCTGGGGGTCCTCTTTTAGGTACATGTGAAACAATATCATTTAAGATTACCCCACCCCCCAACAAGGGGAAAAATAAGGAATACTTTAAGATCAATTTTGTTTAGAGCCAAGAAGATTAAATTTACCAAATATGTTTAGAAAAAAAATAAGGGTTTTTTTATTCTTTTTTGCACAATTTGTGTTTTATCAGTTCCCATATTTGGACGCGGAATAAACTTGGCTACAGTAACCGACATTCAAATAAACGAGGCGTCCGGTTTAGTTGCAAGCCGATTACATGCCGGTGTGCTGTACACCCACAATGACAGCGGGGACCGGGCGCGGATCTTCGCCGTGGACTCGGAGGATGGTGGGACGTTAGCAGTTTACGATATTGCCTCAGCTACTCATCATGACTGGGAGGATATGGCTGTTGGCGTGTGTCCCTCAGGATCAGGATCTTGTATATACATTGGTGGGTAAAAAAACATTAATTACAGAAATAGCTCTTTGGTGGAGGAAAAAAATGAGTAATTTAAGTTGACGGGGAAAGGGTGTAAAAATGCCCTCTGCTTCCCAAAACATAACTTGATTAATTGATTAATTGAACACCATATAACAGATTTTAGTCAGGAGTCAGTACCTCACCTGGGAAAAGCACTAGCGCTGATGCTTTCATCAGAATATTTTTACACCCTGTTAGAATCCTATTGGAACCATAGTTATTCTTATACTATAGTATTTGATCAAATATTTAATATCAAAAACGCCAGAAAATTTAATTTACCGCATGGACTTGAGCTGGGCATAAAACTACATTTATATCCATTGAACAAAGTCCAGTACACTACTAGATGCAAACGATATTTGTGTTTCACGCTGTGCAAAATTTAATACAGTGCCCACTGTCCAACCTGACAACTGGGCAACCCGGCACACTGGACTTTCTGAACTCATTTTTTATTCCCAAAAATTTCTTTATAATTTATATAGAATAAAACACTATTTAGTCCGACTACTGTACATTCCGAATTTCTTTAAACTTTAAAAGACCCTTATTGACTTTAAAGGGGCCTGGACAGAGTTGCATTGTTTACAATTTTAAATTTATTTTTATTCAAAAAATATCTTCAGTTAAATGAATTGAACTTGCATAAACATTCTTAGAATTCAACGACAATGAAATTCTTCTTAAAATCACGTTAAACGTCTGTGTTTGTAATTAGGGCACGAGCTCTGTTATTGTTAATGTTTACGTTTTACTGGGTGTGTTCAATTTGTTTACTCTGCACACATGTTTGAGCACGGACTGACAATACCGGTGTGTTGGTTTTGCTTTCTCACATTTCTACTCTGAATTTCCTAGGTTATAGTTTCAATATTTTTCATTAATACACAACTTTTTTTTCCAGTATTAAGGATGAAGTTTACTTTGTGAAAAATGCAAAGATATGTGTCAATCAAACGCGCCCCGAAATTCGTAGTTTTCAAAATTTCCAGATGAATGAAGTTTCTAAACAGCTTGTATTTTATTTCAGCGTGAAATGCTCTAGCAACGTGTAAGTAACGATACTATACTGAAAATTTAAAAAAATATTAACTTCATATCTGTGTCCAAGCCCCTTTAATGCGAAAAGCTGAAAAGTCAAGGTTGATCTTTTTCTTTCTCCGTCTGGATATTTTTCCCAGTTCTTCCACCCTATTCTTTTCTCCTAAAACGGGGAAACAAATTTTCTGAATTAGCTTGGGCCAACTTTAAAATATTGTTTGTCTCCCGACTCAAGATCATATACACTTTTTTCAATGGATGGCGCTGTAGCTCTCTGGTCGTCCATCCCAATTATTTTCAGACCAGCGAGCTACAGATCTGTAGCTAGACTCAAGATGACAAAATAGGGTCGGTAGGTAGGTAAGGAAAAATTTTTTCTCAGAAAAATTCAATTTCAATGCTAAATTTTCAAAATCTATATTCCAGAATACATAAAAATAATTGCTTCATGGAGATTTAAAAAAGTTTTGAGTCGGGCCATTTTTAGCCAGTCGGTCGGGAGAGGGCAACCAAGCAATTTTTTATAAAGATGACCTTGTTCATGTCATTTTTTATAATAAATAGGTGATGTTGGCGGGAACTACGGAGACGCTGGAAGTGTCAAGAACATCTACGTGGTAGAAGAACCCAAGGTTATTTCCGGGAACGACACCCTACCCCTCCTCGCAAAACTTCATTATAAGTATAGTTAAAACTGTTGTTTATAAAATTACATTTTTTATCATTCACTTAAAGTAATTAAAAGCAACCTATATACTACTAATTCGAGAGTTCCAGATCAAAATTAAAGTAGTGTCACAACCACTATAAATCTTCTCAAAACCGTAGTTAACATGAGAGGAAAAACAGGAGAATGACATAAACTTCGAAACAGTTTCATGTTTGAATAATTTTAAGGATGAAACAACTCAAAGCGAGCGTTGTATAGCATGAGGTTGCAGTGTAGATTAAATAAACGTATTAACAGAGATTTGTAAATATTAGTATCGTCAAATTAAAGTCGGTAATGTTGTCGTCGTGCGACGATAAACGAAATGTGACAAATTTACCTGAATATTTAAAAAGTATATGTCTGAATGAAATTTTTAGGTAAGTCAGAAAAATAGAGGTACAAGTAAATAAAATTTTATTAATAATTTAAGATTTAATATAAGTGACGTGACATTACTTTTGCATCAATCCTTGTATATTTGTCGTCATTCTCGTTTCTGATCGACCTGACACTAGTAAGTGCTGTTTTCTCACAGCTGGGATGTGTACGACACAGAAACACTGATGATTGATCCCACAGGGGACGTTATTCTGATCTCCAAGGTACAAGGAGGGCGTGGCTTAGTGGGCTATATACCCTCCATTGCATTCTACACTGCACAACAATTCCCATTTCCTCAATCTTACAACATCACCAACTCCACTACACTGAATATTCCTCTAACTGATGACGTGGACCCGCTAGGAGGGGACATATCCCCCAATGGTCGAGAAGTTGTCTTGAGGACACACCACAAGATCTATTACTGGATGGTCAATAACAGGGAGTACCTCACAACACTAAACACGACCGAGCCCTTGGAGGTGCCACAGAAGAAGGAACCCCAGGGTGAGGCCGTATCCTGGGACACCCGTGGGGAGGGGTACTACACCCTCAGTGAGAGGGAAAATCAACCGCTGTACTACTTCAGAAGGCTGTTTTAAATGTTAAAATAAGATACAATGCCAGACATATTAATTTTTCTCAATCTTTAAATCTTTTTTAACAAATGTATATATAAACTTTCAACAAGTTTGACTGAAAAAAGATACATGAATGCATTCTACTGTAGCAAATTTCTAAAATATTTTTTTTACAATTTTGTATCTTATACTTTTGATAAAAGCCTTGTCTTGTTTCATTTTCTAAGTATTGTTCACAGGTTTACATATATTGTCAATATCAAACAAGTAAAATATACCACATTTCTATAAGAAATGTAGTTATTCTCAAGTGAATTTATAAAAAATAGTAATATAAATTCAAAGATTCAATCAACAGCTTTAAGCTACAAAGCAACAACTATCCTTCTGACTGCCATCTGCTGGTCAAGGGAGAGCACCTAGTTCTGGATCTCTTGATTATCATATACCTATAAAGTCATATAGCTCTCTTCCATGTATTAAAGACAATGTCAATGTTATGTGTAGCCTCTCCATCCATACAACAACCAGTGGTATAAGTCTCGTAGCTGGCTTGGGTGTGGATCTATAAATATTTCAGTAAAGATTTAATGACTAATTTAGAACATGTATGAACTAGAGATGTCAGTGTGACATGAATGCCCCCCCCCCCCCCCTTCCCTCTGACAAGCAAGTTTTAAATATTTGAAAGTCCAAAGACATGAAAATCAATATTTCATGGTGGAAATGAGAAAAAAATAAATAGAGAATATTCAATGTTTTGTAGCTGAATATGGGATTTATTTCACAAGTGGGACAGGATTTTTTTATATTAATGAGAGTGAAGCAGGAGTGAATATATCAAAATATCCTATCTCACAAGTGAAATGAAAGAAAAAGTGAGCAAGCTCACATATCCCACGCTCCCCCAAAACTCGACAATGCAACACGCAATGAATGGCACAGTGCATTTTAAATACACAGTATAATTCATGAATTTGTTTATATACTGTACTTATGAAATTATTTAAGGCAAAGCACCAATTTGATTGGGGGGGGGGGGGGGGGGAACTATCCAAGATTGTGTGTGTGTGTTAAATCATCAATATTTTGATCTCAAAATCAATAGGGGTTTTTTTAAGGTCATAAAATATTCACATAAAGTTTCATTACAAAAGCTGATTCCAGTGGATTTCCTTATTACCTAGTTGGAAAGTTTCTTCGATAATAGGCATTAAAACTTTTAAGGCAAAAATAATGGAATCGGAATTTCCTGGTAATATGCACATCTACACACTGTGTACTAAATATCTGCAAACTTTGGCCAAATTCTGTGCAGTGGTTTAAGAGGAGTTGCACTGACAAACTGTTCATCTCTATATTCAAGATACAGCCAAAAATCTAAGTTGAAAAGTGCCGAAATTCCCAGAAAAATAAAGGAATCGGAATTTCCTGGTAATATGCACATCTACACACTGTGTACTAAATATCTGCAAACTTTGACCAAATTCTGTGCAGTGGTTTAAGAGGAGTTTTGCTGACAAACTGTTCATCTCTATATTCAAGATACGGCCAAAAATCTAAGTTGAAAAGTGCCGAAATTCCCAGAAAAATAAAGGAATCGGAATTTCCTGGTAATATGCACATCTATACACTGTGTACTAAATATCTGCAAACTTTGACCAAATTCTGTGCAGTGGTTTAAGAGGAGTTTTGCTGACAAACTGTTCATCTCTATATTCAAGATATGGCCAAAAATCTAAGTTGAAAAGTGCCGAAATTCCCAGAAAAATAAAGGAATCGGAATTTCCTGGTAATATGCACATCTATACACTGTGTACTAAATATCTGCAAACTTTGACCAAATTCTGTGCAGTGGTTTAAGAGGAGTTTTGCTGACAAACTGTTCATCTCTATATTCAAGATATGGCCAAAAATCTAAGTTGAAAAATGCTGAAATTCCCAGAAAAATAAAGGAATCGGAATTTCCTGGTAATATGCACATCTACACACTGTGTACTAAATATCTGCAAAGTCTGATGAAATTCTGTGCATCAGTTTATGAGGAGTTGCGCTGACAAAAAAAACAGGACTGACTGACTAACTGACTGACTGACACACTGACTGACTGACTGACTGACGGACGGGTCAAAAACATTATACCTCACGCAACTTGTTGCGTGGGGTTTAATAAATTCCATATTTAACCATCAAACATTGAATTTTCTCTTTGATTTCCTCTTTGCCTCTGTCTCTTCGTAATACAATGTCATCGGCTGTAACAACATAGTTGAGCATGTGAGACGTCATAGCTAAGCAATTTGACACTGATACATGGATTTAAATAACAATTTGGTGAAACTTTGGTAGTTTTAGTCTGTGTCGGGGAGTTTATTTACTCTCGCTATCTTATAACAGGACAAGGAGTATTTGTAGCGAACAATAAATTCATTCCTTGTAATCTTAACTTCCTTATTAAAATGTGTTAAATTTCTTACTTGTAATACATGTAATCCTATCTTCTCTATTACAATGTGATAAATTCCTTACTTATAACACATGTAATCCTATCTTTTCTACTATAATGTGATAATCCCTTGCCTTTCTGTGACAATTTGAGAAATCCCTTACTTCTCTGTTACAATGTGATAAATCCCTTGCCTTTCTATGACAATGTTATAAATTCCCATATCTCTATTACGGTATGATAAATCCCCTTCTCCTACATTACATTGGAATAAATCCCTTTCTCTATAATCCTATCTCTAGGATTTAATCATTTCAATCTTTTCTATTCAGTGAGTTACATCACATACCCTGTAATCCTATCTTTTCCAATAGTTCCTGTGTGTTCTCTCGTCTCTCCATCACCTCTATAAGATTGGTTGACTCGACCTGAGGTAGCTGTATATTATTGTAGATGTAAATCTTATTGTTATAGGTGGCATATACAAAGCTAGGGTTGTTGTCTACTCCATACAGGCCTGTAACATATAAATCATACAACATAAGTACAGTCGACTAGCTACCTGTGCAATAAAGAGCAAAGCAGCTAAAAGCCTCATGTATCAACGATAGCTGAATAGAGGAGGGGATGGGAATTAATTTAGGTTTTCAAACCTGCTGTGAAGGCCGTGACATTCTCCTGGAACTGATACCTAACGACAGCTCTGTTATGATTGACAATGTAAGTCTGACCATCCCAGGAACAACATACAACCTCCTCCTTACCATTACCCTGTAAATACGTCATATCACATTTGTTAATTAAACTATCTCTTTGGAAGTAATAAATTCTATCTTCTTACTCATGTACCAGAATTACAATATACAGTCTGTATCACTGGTAAATAAGGTACATGTAAAAGTACAAATATATTTACTACCAGGGGTAGTAGAAAAAGCATTACTGAACTGAAGATAAATATCATTGGTCATCCATTACTTGTGCTCCTGGTTAAAATATTTCACAACTGAATGTAACTTAAAATAGTAAAATTATCAAAAGTGAATCTGTCTGATGCAGATGCTTGCATAGCTTTAAAACTGGGCAAACTTAAATTTTCATCAAGTACTACAAGAATGAAAGGAGTGTTTGATAAAGCATAGATTAGATCTATTTTATGAAACACTGTGATTTTATATCAATGAGAAATTAAAAATGCCAGTAGTTAGGTCGACTATCAACAAATCAGTGATTGGTTAAGTTTCTGATTATTCAAATAATTATCGGAGTCTTTCCAATTGTACACCACAAGCAAAAAAGAAAAAAATCTCAACAAAAGTATAAAAAGAATGCAGTTATACTGTACCTCATCATTAAAATTACCAAGCTAAAGACAAGCTTGTAATATTTTCTACAACTTAAAAAACAAGGGAAATTGACTTAACTGTGACATCTAACTTCTTCAGTGAGAATAGCTGATGGTCAACTTGTAGAGACCAGAGAATCTGTTTCTTCTCCACTAATAGTAGATTACCTGTTATCATAAATGTATTATGGACAATTAAAGTACAACTAAATTTTATTATTACCACTTGCTTAGCTATTTTGGGGTAAGATATGAAACTGACCGTCCAGAGTACAGATAGCGTAGTACGTCCCTGGCTGTTTTGTTCTCTGTTTGGAGATTCCACCCAGGATTTCTGTGGAAACGGTTTGGTTTGCCCTCTGATCAGACTTCAACACTTCTTCATTATATCTGTTACAAAATCAACCAGATATTTATGTATCATAATATAGCATTAATTTGTGAAAATTCAAATTATAAATTGTAGAAATATTTGTGACTCAAGTAAGTTTTTTCATGAATGCTGAAGTTTTATAAAATTACTTCTTGTTTAAAGAGAATCTGAAAGAACTGACATGTATTCACATGTATCATTCACATATTACTTGTTACTGGTGTCCTTTATTGACTGGAGAAACAATCTTAATATTTATGAATCTAACCAATAGATTACAATATAGTCTATGAGGGGTGATCAAAAAGTTTGCGAACTAATTGATCTACTTCCATAAAAGAAATAAAATTAGGTTTCAGTGTTCATTATTTTTTAAGGTTTTCCTCTCCGATTATAATGCACGTCTTTCACCATTCTGCCCATGTGCGAATCACATGATCTAGGCGGTCACGTGACATGCTCCAGTGTTCTGTTCACAAAAGTTAAAAAGATTTTTCCAAGTTTTATATTTCTTTCCATGCAAGTTATTTTTTAAAACAAGAACAGTCCATTTGTCACAAATGGCCAAATCTTGGCAAAAGGATAGAGGGATGAGGAAATCCTTTCCCAGAATGAGCATGGTGACCATCACAACCCGACTCCTCCGTCTTGGGTGCGTCATTTATTCAATGTGGATAAAGTATGGGCGCCTTCTTTTTATCATATCTGATATGTTTGAAGACCAAAGTAAACATTTTAAGGATTTAATAATTATGTTATTGTTAAGATATTCCACTATTTTTCTTACTGTAACACAGCAATCTTTCATAACAAATTGCCCAACTAAGGACACATCTCTTCTCCAGCTGGGCAACAGAACAAATATCATTTTTAACCATCACCCTTCCATCACTAAAAAATCAATCCAATTAATGATTGAGCTTCTGGCAAGTCTTTTATCTTCACAAACCGTGTACAAATTATTATTTCTACTGCAAAGGAATTTCCAAGATATACGTTAAACTTTACAGCAGTTCGTTGCTCGAGTACCACTGAGTCAACCATTTTTTGTCACAAGGCATCTACATATTGATGTCATTTTCACATTGTGACGTCATTTTCACATTGTGACGTCACAAACATGGAGCAAAATATTACGTAACATCTGCTATTTATAGAACCTGTGTATGACTATATGTGTGCCAAATTTCATTGCGATCTGAATTGTCGTTTTGAAAATATAGAGATAGTTCGCGAACTTTTTGATCACCCCTCGTACATACCCTTCATCACCAGAAAGGTCAAGTTCTGAGCCCTGTTTAAAAGTCATTGTTACATAATCCCCTCCCGGCTGAGCTACCAAAAGTTCTGGATGTCCCTCTTCTGTAAAATTCACTGTCAGGGAACTTATCTAAAGAAATATACAATGATACATTGATAACCTTCATCAGCAATTACAACAGACACCATGATAAATTCTCATTAGAATTTCTTTTCTTATAAAGAAACTATTACACTACTTACAAATTGTTAAGCCATTTCTGAGAAAGTTAGAGACAAAGGGAGAGAGAGAGGAGGAGATAGAGACCTGTCCTGCTAGCTGCCATTTCTGAGTCTGTATCAGGTTGTCTGAGATGAGTTCTGTCTCTGGGTCTTGCACAGTGCTCCATCTGAAACACCGCACCACACGATCAGAGTACGCCACTGTCAGCTCAACCTTACCATCCCCATCTAGGGAAGCCACCAAAAAACATCAAAGATTCTCATCGTCACCAGGAGAAAATTACTCATACATTAATTATGCATTTCAGTATGACTTGTAATCCTGTAGTTTATATTTTTGCACAGTTCTGTATTTATCATTTCTTTTCTGTGAAAGTCCCTGGCATGAAGAAACTGATAAGTATAGAGCAACATGGTCTTTGAATTTTTTTATTGTAGAGTATTTCCACAGAACATGTAACTGAATGTGACATGAATGTAATACATAAGTATAATATCTGATCACTTACCTACATCCTCTATCAGTAGAACTTTACCATTTGCTGGGAGGTGCTGAGTAAAGGATGGAGTTATACTCTCTCCCACAGTGTCGGAATCCTTGGTAGTCTGTAATATAAAGGTTTTCCATAAAATTATTGAATCTTTTTACAATTCAACCTTTTCTGACTAAATTACAAGTGAAGCAAGTCAGAAATCCTGCTAATTTGTTTTTGATACATGCTTCACATCCTTAGTTTGTTATTCTGTAAGTAAACAGAAAACCAGAAGCAAATATGCCACGGCTGTTATGTTATTCAGCACAATGATTTATTATAACTTACCTCTGTAGATGGCTCAGACTTGATATCAAATATGTTACACCACCCTTCTGCTGTCAGCACAACCAATACATTCTGTAACATTTATGATGTGTGTTTTTAGTTTCAAGTACTCTTGTTATTTTTCTAGAAATTAGTTTAAATTTAATCTCATCTTCTACAAAATTAAACGTATTAGCTACCATAAAATTTCCATTTTACCTTTCCTTTGTTAAATACATCTCCAACTCCTATGCATGTTATCTGAAGTAAGAAAACATATTTAATACTCGCACCATCTAAAAACCAGACACTCTGTCAGTAATGACATTTATCATGTTTATACATGTAGCTGCATTCCACTCATACAAGTTCAGATTACATGTGTATAAGATGGTGGAAAAAAGAAAAGACAGACAGATAGGCAAAACAATATACCTATATTGTTTTTAGATGGTACTATCACCATTTTATGAGGGGGGGAAATACAAACAGTAATACTAATTAAAAACATTTACCAGGTCAGTCACAGTCTCTTAATTTAACTACCAGTATATAGCTTGAATAAGCTATATAGCTTAATTTAGCTATTCTAAATAGCTTGATTAAGCCATTTTTTTTTAACTTTTGCACGTTAAAAATTTGGAAGATTTCAACTTTGAACTCTTATGAAAACAATGGAAAAAAATCACTAATCAAATTGTCTTCTTCAGAGAATTTGTACTCAGAGTTCTAATTTTGGGGGGCTATATAAACAAATAAAAAGCAACTGATTTGTGACCACACAGTTACTTCTTGAATAAACTTATAAAGGAGATCAATTGTGGTCAACAAGATACCGACTGGTAATACATGTAATTCTGCACAATGTGAAGTAATCATACTTAGCTATGTCTCTCCACACACAAGGTCGCAGTTTCCAAAACAATGGAACTACACCTTTTGCTTAAAAGTGTTCAAAAGCAGCAATGTTGAAAAGATGTTTGAATTGAAATGTTTTGTTTAATAATCCATAATACAAATATGAGTAATCACATACTTGCAATTTTTTTGTTTGTTTCTAAAAAAAATATGAAAAACTATACTGAAATGGCTTTATCAATCTACTTTGAATAGCTTGATAAAGCTATATAGCCAAATCAAGAGATTGTACTGGACCTGGCTAAGCCTTTAAGATATTTAGTAGGAAAATAAGCAAATATGATGTGCACCATTCCAAGACCAGAACATCGTTTCCACGGAAATCTTGTGGTTCCCTTAAAAATGGCCAAGTCTCCATCTGTATTACCCACTGCTAACTCATGCCCCTGTAAAAAGCAATGTCGTACAGATATTGAATATAAAAACCTGATACTCTTGTAAACATATAACCTAAATTTGATCTGTGTATCATATGTCCTTTTTGTGTCCTCATTTTACAATTCTTGAATAATGAAATTATTTAATAATTGCAATTGTTTAGAAATGGTAAAGAGTATTCTCTTTAGAGAAGTGGACAGGCTTTCGCCTACATCCAGGGTAGTGGATGTAGGCGAAAGCCTGTCTGTCCACTTCTCTAAAGAGAATAGGTAAAGAGTACCCACTCGAGCCGAGACATGTTTACCTGATCATTATCTACATCACCAAGGACAATTGCATGGTTAAATAAATTTCCCGAGAAATCAAGTTCTATTCTTTCTACAAAAGATACATTGCGCCACATGTTTTTCTGACTTGGGCCAACAGTAAAACGAAAGTAGAAAAATGCTTCACTAATATTGATACAACGAGCCCGATCTGAATTGATCAAATCGTAATGAATAATTGATAATTGTTTTAAAAAATACACTATCTTTCCAACGATTTTATCATTCCCAATTTTACAGTTACAAACATAATAATTCTAGATAGTACTAAAAGATATACTCCTTATAATGCATCATGTTACATGTATACTGCTGATATTCGATGGTGTTGATTGAGACTTGTATAGGAGGACACTTTCCCAAGATATCCTATTGACATGGAAAAAATCAAAACATTCTGTGTCCAACGACCCACTATTCAGCTTTGTAAATCTCTAATTTTTGTGAGAGGGCGGGGAGGGGGGAGGTAAGGGGGTTGTATCATGATAAAGACCCTCTCAGTAGCTCCTCCAACAATACATTTTAGAGATCAGCACATAATATTCAATGGAATTCTTTTTGGAAGTGGGGAGCTCGAGGGGGTGGGGATTCAATCGACAGCAGTTTCCTCCGGACTTACTTTCGATGCCAGTTAGAGGTAAGCTGTCTATTGTAGTAGATTTCACTTTTGGCTTTCCATAATATTAAAGGTATTCAGATTAATACAGCTCTATCGAGAGATATATTTTGGCTATCGGTGTTCTATTATCAGTCAAGCATGAAAAGTATCTATTGGTCACTTTCACTTCTTTTATTCTTTTGGCTATTTAAATCATGACAAACCTTTATATTATCAGTAGTGTATCTACTCATTGACTAGGTCTAGGGTTGACACCTTTTCCACCTGAATCAGGTATTACATGTTTTTTCATTATTGCATTTTTTTTTTTTGTATAATAAATTGTTGAAACTTTACAAGTTGTTTTATTTAGGGAAAGTTAATCTTGGTCCAGAACAATAATATTTCGGAACGAACCTGGGTAAAAGTGAAAATATTTTAGAGTGTGAAATACAACTCCTACAGAATGGTGCCGTGTTACCTAGGATCAAGTTCTTGACTTTCCTTCAATAAAAACCTTGTCTATTACAAATTCAAAATGCAAAGAAATTTAGATTTGTTGCTTGATTGTTTTGATGGCGGAAGTCCTTCAGATAACACACCTGCTCTAAAACCTGTTGCAGTCGAAACACATGAACCCCGTGTATCCAAGCGTTACAAATTAATTGACTTGGAAAGCCCTTTGTTTGACTCCGGGTATGACAAAGCTTTTAAAAGCTTAAATCCCGAACCATGCTCACCCCAAACCTCGTGTTTTTCGCCACCTGTGAATTCAATGAAAGGAAGTGTTCCTAGGTCAAATAAAAGTGTTGAGAGTGAATCAGAAATAGAATACCTAAACACAGTCATCCGTGACCTAAGGTCACAGATCAATGTATTACAACGCGAAGCCCAGAAAAGAGATCTGGAACATTTTGAGTGTCAAAAACAGCTGATTTCATGTCAGAGAGTTATTCTAGAATGTAAAGAAAAAGAAATAAAATTACTCGAACAAACGCAAAACTCGTATGAACTCCGCACATTTTTATGTGACCATGGTAGTCAAACTGAGCCCTCAGTACAACCAATCGCGACAAGCACTCCGTGGCGTCAAACTCCTAGTTCGTTTGAATTATTTCAAAGGTCAGAAATCAATGAGCCTCGAGTAAAATTTAATCTCACTGATTCAGATCAGATTTTCGAGACTACACACGTCTCAGAAACACAGAGCAATTTAGAGAGTGCACGCGAATTACCGATACTACACAATAGCCCAACTTCTTGTGAAATAATACCTGATTCGATTGTGAAAAATCAAGACAACAAAATTGTTTCAAAATCTCAAGAGTTTTCTCGCGAAACATCACATGCAAACGAGTCAATAATCTCACAAAGTTCGCGAAAACACAAAGAAAAACAACCCGAGTTATTTTCAGGGCGTGAACAAAGTGTTGATGATTATTTGATCAAATTTGAAATTGTGGCAAAGTGGAACGAGTGGTCTCATGAAGAAAAGGCAAGTCAGCTATTAATGAGCTTAAAAGGTCCTGCTTTTGATTTAATCAAAGACTTGACAGAAAAACAGAAATCAGATTTCAATGAAATAGTACGCGCTCTGAAAAAACGCTTTAGCCCCAAAGAACGCGAAACGGCACATAAAGATAAATTTTGGACTCGGCGCCAATTAAAAAATGAAAATGTTACAGACTTTGGGTATGCAATCAAAAAACTCAGCTACTTAGCTTTTACTGAGATGGACACAGAATCTCGCGAGTCATTGCTCGTAGAACATTATACACGTGGTCTTTCAAGTTATGACACAAAACGTCACGTACGGTTGAATCAACCTTTAACACTTGACAAAGCAATTTCTTTGGCAATGCAAAGTGAAGAATTTGAAATATCACATGCAAACAGGAAACTCAGCTATACCGAACAAATCAACTATGTACAGAGCAATCCTGATAAACGGTTGTATGGGAAAGAAAATTCAAATTTCTTTGACAATGCAAATTTACAAGAAATAACATGTTTTGCCTGTAATCGCAAGGGTCACAAAAGAAATCAATGTCCAAATCTATCAAACTTTCAACCGTTCTCTTCCGACCAAACTACTGACAGTATGAATGCAAAAGAAAGGCTTCAAACAAATAATTACATGAGAGGCCAGAGGCCTAAAACGTTTCAACAAAATTCAAGACAGAAATTTGACACAGATCAAAATAAAAACCTCCCACAACGTGAGCACGCTTTTCAACCGAGATCAAACGAGCAATTCGAACAAAATCCCTCGCAGCGTTTGCCCCCAATTCATGAACATAAATTTGAATCCATGCCAAACCGAACACCATTAAATGCAGCAACCGCAAGCACATTCGAGCCAAGACACACTTCGGGATCTAATGTTCCCATACCGGAAAACTATTAAGGGCTGGTCTTGAGGCCGAAAGTCCAGCCACACCAGAATATGAACAAAACTTAAAAAATGACGGGATAAAATGGCCTAATTTGAGAATGAACTCTATTCGATCGTGTCTTTTTGTGAAGATTTTTGTAGATAAAGTTCCTGTGAAGATGTTGGTAGATACGGGTGCGTCTGTTAGCATAATCTCAGAAAAAACCATCAAGGGACTAAAATTAGACATGTCTTTGATATCGAGAGAGAATATAGATCTCACTACAGCAGATGGAAGCTGCTTGAATGTGATTGGGCAATTACTATTGAATTTCAAGATTGGGAAAAATTGTGTTTCTCAAAATGTTTATGTGGCAAAGTTAGAATCTGGTTTAGAGGGAATATTGGGTATAGATTTCCTGACCAGTTCGAAATCAGAATTAAATATCAAAGACGAGTGTATGATTTTAGATGGACAAGAGATTAAATTGTTCAGAGAGGGTGCTACATATTGCACAAGGGTGAAAATGAAGAATGATATTTGTGTTCCTGCGAAATCAGAATTGTTGATAGAGGGTGAGATTGAGAATGAGATAGGAGAGAATGTTGGTCTTGTAGAACCATTTCCTATAATAAAAAGTAGAGGTCTACTAATGGCAAAGTCTTTGGTGAATCCAACAAATGGCAAAGTTTGTATGAGTGTTATCAATACTAACAGAAAAGACACAACACTGAGTAGAGATATGCTGGTTGCTAGTTTAAGTACCGTAGATTGTATTGAAGAAAAGTCGAATTTTGAACAAATTCAGACACCAGGTCATGTAGTTCTACCTAAACATCTCCAAGAACTTTACGAAAGGTCTTCAGAGAATTTAAACAATTCTCAGGCAAAACAACTCAAACAAGTACTGATTGAATTTCAAGATATTTTTGTGGGTCAAGACGGAAATTTGGGTCAAACAAATGTTGTTGAACACACAATCGACACAGGTGATTCAAAACCTATAAAACTTCCCTTACGTCGAGTTCCTATAGCTCAGAGACAAATCGTTGAGTCTGAATTAGGTAAAATGCTTGAAGGAAAAATAATCGAGGAAAGTCAGAGTCCGTGGGCTGCACCTGTTTGTTTAGTTCAGAAAAGAGACGGGAGTACTCGCTTTTGTATTGACTATCGTCAACTAAATAAAGTAACACGTAAAGACGCGTTTCCATTGCCTCGTATCGATGATACACTCGATTTGTTAGCAGGCTCGCAATGGTTTTGTACGTTAGATTTAGCATCAGGATACTGGCAATGTAAAGTTTCTGAGCAAGACAAACCAAAAACAGCATTCCTAACACATAAGGGCCTTTTCCAATTTAACGTCATGCCCTTCGGTCTTTGCAATGCCCCCGCCACATTCTCTAGAATGATGGATATTGTTTTGAGTGGCATGAAAATAGATCGATGTTTGTGTTATCTTGACGATGTAATAGTTTTTGGGAAAACATTTGAAAGTTCTTTGGAAAATCTAAGACAAGTTTTTTACAGGTTGAGAACATCCAACTTAAAACTTAAACCCAAAAAGTGTGTTTCATTTCAGACCCAAGTTTCATATTTAGGTCATACAGTTTCAAAAAATGGCATACATGTGCTAGATGAAAATGTCAAACCGGTCAAAAATTGGCCAGAACCTCAAAACGTTAAAGACGTTCAAAGTTTTTTAGGCCTGGCGGGATATTATCGCCGTTTCATTCCAAATTTTAGTGAAATAGCCAGTCCAATGACTCAGTTGACTAGGAAAAATAAAATATTTAACTGGACCGCAAATTGCTCAGAATCTTTTCAAAAATTAAAAGAGTTGCTTATTAATGTACCGATTTTGACTTTTCCAACAACTGAAGATCATTTTATTCTAGATACAGATGCGAGTGCAAATGGTATTGGCGCCGTTTTATCTCAAGTTCAAAACGGTCAAGAACGTGTCGTTAGCTATGCTAGCAAAACGCTAAACCAAGCAGAAAAGCGTTACTGCACCACAAAGCGCGAACTTTTAGCTGTCGTCTATTTTGTGAAACATTTCAATCATTATTTATGGGGTCGACATTTTACTGTCAGGTCAGATCATTC